AATTGAGGCACAGGTGGACAACTTTTCAAAATACGGCATTTACGTAATTCTGGATATGCACCAGGACTCCCTGTCTACGATGTTTGGTTCCTACGATGCCATCCCGAAGTGGCTTCTGGAGTCCTACCCGAAGCCAATTTGGTTCCTTCGTTATCCATGGCCACACACGAAGAACGCCTCCGGCGACTGGGAGGGCTATACAACTTACGCCTGCCAGAAGGCTTTCCAGTGTATGTACGACAATGAAAAGAACACCTGGGAGTACTGGGGAGACTTCTGGGAGACGGTGGCCAAACGCTTCAAGGACAAAGTTAATGTGCTGGGCTACGAGCTAATAAATGAGCCGTTTGCGGGAAATATCTACACTAATCCTCTCAGAGCCATACCCGGTAAGTGATTTGTGTAGGTACGCGTTTGTTTTTGCATTGTACTCCTCTTTTTAAATTACATAGCTCATTGTCTGCACAAGCTCACTTGACTCCCGTAAATTTACTTCGCATACCAGAATTCCTCGTAGCGGAAGATTAATTTCAGAGCACATGGGAGTAACCACAGCCGACGGGATGTAAGCCAGTGCTGTAGTATCTGAGTAGATGCTCAGCCGATCTAAAATGCATACTTCTGATCATCCAAACTGAGAGGGGTGTAATTCTACCTGATGACGGTAAATCAGCCGGAAACAACTCCCCCCATTCTCCGTCTTATTTTCTTCTCAATTAATCCATTTCAGTTCATACAAGATAGTAAAGATAAACGGCAAGGAAGAATGATGGTCGTACGATGAACGATTTTGATTAACTATTAGTTTGAGGGTTTCAAAGAAGGGCTTGAACAAAATAAGTTCTCCCAAAGTGCTATGTTCGGGGGAAGCAAATTGATTAGAAACAAAAGTTGCAACCTAGGTCAAGTTGCACACATGGGGCCAGTAACCACTGGGGATGTCGATTATTTATCCAAGTAAAACAGGGTGCAAAAATTAGCGACAACAAAGCACGTTTAACGCACTATTCTACGAAAGCTCAGCCCACAAATAAGGCATGCTGATTTCGGCTTTCATTAGTTTTTTTTCAGTTAGCGGGTCTTGGCTATGAGGTCATTCGACTGAACACCTATCTCGCCAAAAATTTTACTTATTGTTCACTTTGGCCGCAATGTTTTAAGAATTCCATTTCTGGAGGCCGGTCAACTAAAGATTTGAAGCATAATTTTCCAGGTGAGAACTTGAAAATAGTGATTAATGCAAAATTTAATGGTTCCATAAAATTTCGTGAGTGTTTGTCAGTCTCATCCACTCAGTGCGTTAAAGGTTCACGAATGAGAAAATTACGAAATTGAATTTGTACAGAGAGGTCATAGTCACTAAGGCTAATTAATAAAGAAGGAAGATTAGAACAAAGTGGAAGGGGAAACAGGGAAAATAGGTTGCGGGAAAATCGGGGCAGGGGAATATGCAAATCTGGGGGCCTGTAGTTACCAAGGCAAGGCTAGGTTAATCACATGCTCCAACTGTTTGCATAGGTCCGGTTTAGAGCGTTTTATAAAAGCTGCTTCCAGGTAGCGCAAGATTCCACTTGGACCAACCTTTGCAGACATATTTATGGGCTATCTGGAAGAAAAAGTATTCGCAAAATTGAACCACACAACACTCTACAGACGAGAGGTAAACGATGTTTTCACTATTGTGGAGAACCTGAAAGAAGCTGAGGAATCATTGTTCACAATGAACAAGCTGCATCCGAAAATTAAATTTACTATGGAACCAGAACGAG